CCCTAACAGTCCGAGTAGTCACATGACATCAAAACAAAATGGCGAGACACTTTATTTTATTTTGTTGCGTATAGGACGCCATTTTGTCACGTGACAAACTTTTTACTCTCCGCTCAACGGGGAGTAAACGGGTTAGTCACGTGATGCGACTCGAGTCAGTCATGTGACCAACTCGATTCAAAACGCGAACGGTCTGGTGTCGACTCGAGTGAAGAACGAAAACCTTACCAAGAAGAAGTAAAGCGGTGGACACACGAGCCGAATGACAAGTCACATGATTAAACGGTTTGTTCTCACATTCCCAGCAGATTAACCCTACTATTGACTCTAACTACTAAGGGCGTCTGACACGATGACTGCTTTTTTTTTATGCACCGTTCAAAAAGCAGTCATCGTGTCAGACTCCCTTAGTAGTATAGAGTCAATAAAACACGACAAAACAACACCAAGACCAGAAATTGTTCACAGCATTCATGCAAATGTTAACTCCCTCCAAAGCAAAAATAGAACCGTGGAATTTGCATGGATACCATCTCATGTCGGTATAGTAGGAAACGAGACTGCAGACACTCTGGCTCGCAAAGGGCTCAGCCTATGCGAAACCGAAGACTTAAAATACAGCGTTCAGGAATTTATTAGCATTGTTAAAAGTAAAAATAAATCAGAATGGAAAACTGAGTTGGCCAAAGCAAATACTTTTAGATTCAAATTAAATAAAGACCTTGTTGTAAAAACGGAGATCAAGCACCCATCGTGCAAAATTTGTGGGTTAATCACAAGACTTAGAACTAAAGATTTAATTACCGACCATAAATATAAGCCAGTGAAGTGCGAATGCGGTCAAATTTTGACCGATAATCATGTCTTCATTACATGCAATAAATTAAAAGATAAAAGACTACCTGTAATAAGTTTAATGGAAGATGCCAAACAAATATACCCTCCAAAATGTCCTCTTCCCCACTCGGAATATGTCATAAAATTTATGAAGCTATCTCAAAATTCATAGAAGAATCGGGAATCAACTGTTAAGTAAGTTGCGGAAAAGAGCACTAGTCATGGAAAGATAACTGGTTGTGTAGAACAGGTGCTATAATAATATCGGAATAAGTTCACATTAAGATAGGGAACTACATATATTGTTGTAGGACAGTATGGCGGTTCAGTGTACTGCATGATTTAATATAATAATATTAATCTAATAATAATGACAAAGGAATAAGGATCTACACAACCCTTTATTAACAATGGCAGTGCATATAAATCTATATAATTTGTATTTAGTGTAATGTACTGTTCTTATAAATGTTTAAATTGTTCTGTTCTGTGTTGCTACTGTCTCTTCTTTTCCTTTTCAGGTAACTTTTATCTGTGAAGAGTCGGACACAAAGAAATATTTTAATGGTCTGCAGAAAATAAATGATTTTAAAAACCGAAGTTGTGATGTGTATCAAAGGACTTTTTAACTAACTTTTATTATATGAGATCTGTTTTAACTAACTTTTATAATATGGAAAGAACCACACGGCCATATTCATTTGTAAATACTCCACGGATCCAGCTATGTGGTTTTTACTGCGAGAACTTCGCTTTTCCACATTAAACAGCGGATTCTTTTTCCCCACAGGGTTTTTTCGATCCGCTGCGATGGCATCAAACAGCTGGATCTCCCATTTTAACTTTCATTAAGACAAAGTGAGAAGATGACCCGCCCTCTCTTCCCGCGACATTATGTATTGGATGTTAAATTTGTAATAAACAACAACTCTGTTTTATTTATTGCATGAACAGTTTTAATTATTGCATGAACAGTTCAATTTAACCTACGACATGTGTGAACGATATAAATCACTGTCAGTGGGTCGAAGGTGTAGATATAAGTTTATGGAACCGTTTCTACACTGAAGGTGCAAGAACAACCAAAAATATGTTGAAGGTTGGCATTCAAAGTAAAAGAAAGTATCGTCAAACCACCCAAATATTTTTAGATTCATAGAACTACGCCAGAACAGGGTTACACAGAGATACAAATTTTACAATATGGAAATGGAGGCGTTTCACGTCCAAAGAAAAGAAAATACCTAGAATTAAACAGAAGAATACATGATGAAAAACAAAGATTATTAACTGGTTTGAAGACTTTATATGAATACGGAAATTCGATATCACATTTAGTTGGATTTTAAATATACATGTACAATACAAAATTTGTTAATACAATAACTTGTATGTAAAGTAGTTAATATTGATATGAAAAATATATATGTACATGCTAAATTTGTTAATAAAATAACTTTTATGTAAAGTGGTTAATATTGATATGAAAAAAACTATAGTTTTAACACCATTGTTACCCTAATCAGTACTGGTCCAATGATTTTACCTGGAAAACAATAGCTGCTGGGAAAGTGAGAACACCCCGATTAAACATGGCCGCGACCGAGGAAAATAGCTGCACCGTTGGGAATTTTTTTAATTTTACGCCGTATTCGATTACTCCTTTATTGTACGATCTCTATCTTCCGGGAGGGAGGTATCATATAGACCAACCTTCTCCTCCCATGAAATGATAAGTTCCAATTCTTTCTAGGAATTCCAAGTCTCGATAATACTCGCCATTTTGTCTCCAGACAATCACGTGACCCTCGACATCAGTGGTGATTGGCTAACGAATTCTACATTGGGCGAAGCGGACACACCAGGCGAATCACTCGGTTGAATGACAGTGGACACACTTAAAAAAGAAATACGAAATAAAAGAGTGTCAGTATCTTGAAAAATGGAAGTACGGCAGACCTTGTCTGAAGTACGATTCTGATGAAAGCAAAATGTTTAATGTGTCGAATCTCGGAAGGACAAGGATTCCGCTTTTGAGCCTTTTGTCAAAGGTTTGGAACGATGAAGCTTGATAGCATTAAGCAGCATGAACTGAGGAAATTACATGTAACACAAAAATCTAAAAAATTCGGTTCCAATCAAGTCATCTGAAGCAGCTAAATGTGTATAAAATCTGCAATAAGCAGACTAGGACATACTGTCAATCAAAATCACGAATGCCAACTTCGTTGCAAAGCATCATCGTTCCTTAAAAGAGTATACATTATTATGCAGTCTTGATAAGGCTAAGGATTTGGACATTGGGAATGCATACATAATGACAAGTACTGCACTCAATTTCTGGACTCTATTGGCAAAAGACAAACATATTTATGTTTCATTTACAAATACAAAAATGATTTAATTGTTTTTTGTTGGCAGAAGACAAAATTGTTACATCTAGCTTATGATTGTTTGTTTTAGACTCATGATTGCGGACGTCTTGTCATTTTCCTGAAGGACACTTCTGGGGATGAATGGAGTGGGGAAGATGATGAGAATGATATGGATGAACTGAGAATCGATTCACTGCTATGTTTGTATTCTAGAGAATAAAGACTTTAAAACAAAATTTGTTTTACTCCTTTCAGATTTTTAGGCCAGTGAAATTCGGTTTGGGCTTGTCAAAAATTGTAATCTACTGGCCCGAATGGCTTGTGATTTCACAACTTAAAAGTTATTAACTGATATAGAAGGACAACTCGTGTTTTCCTTTTGCGTTCATCACTTCCGATTGTTGAAACCTTTATTACGTGTCTATCGTAGCAATGATCTCTGTGTTAAAATTATATTTGGAACGTGTTTAACCAGTTCTATCATATATGTGATAATGCCTGACACCAATATTGTCCTTTAACAACGAGTACGACTTCGTAAATCATGGTACTCTTATTGACAAATGTAAACATTTTCGTCACCCGCTTTTCGGAGAAAGCAGTTGACTATTAAAATTGGTCTGTGTCCTTTACACTTTTAGGGACACAATAACATTGCTTCTAATTGAGTTGGAATGTTCAGACTTGGTGTAGGTGTTTATTAGGTCAATACCTTGATGGAGTTCGAAGATGAGCATTTTCTGCTTAGGGTATACTATAGTTAACAAAGTTAATTAGTTGATGCTTTGGGACACGATAACTTTAGTTCTAATTAAATGGGAGTGATGAAACTTCGTGTTTGTTTCATTACGTCAATACCCCGAATAAGTTCGATAGTGAGCATTTCCTGCTCAGGCTAAGACGAACGCTAAAGAATTTGATTGGTCGAGACTTTGGAGCTCGACAACTTTGATTTCTAATTGAGTCGTAGTGGCGAAACTTCGTGTATAGTTTCATTACATCAATATCGTAAAAATAAGTTCGATGCTGAGCATTTTCTGCTTAGGAGAAGTAGAGACTTAAATCTCATCTATCGTGCGTATTTTCCACTATGGCTAAGCAGAGATAAGCAATTTGATTGATTGAGACTTTGGAACACGATAACTTTGGTTCTAATTGGGTGAAAGCGATGAAACACTGTGTATAGTTTCAGTATATCAATACACTGACTAAGTTAGATGATGAGAATTTTCTACTTGCGCTTATAGCGTTAAGCAATTTGATTGGTCAAGACTTTGGAACATAACAACTCAGCTTTTAATTAACGTATAGATTTTCATTATGCAAATGTCTTTACTGAGTTCAATGATTGCTATTTCCCGCTAAAGCTGAGCATAGCTAAGCAATGTCATTGGTCAGTGATTTGGTAAAATATAACTTTGATTCTAACTGATGGAGAGTGCAGATGAAACTTAGTATATAGTTTCACTACCCGGTACTTCAAAACCTGACAGAGTGTGACCGTGAATATTTTATGCTTATAATCAGTTTGAGTACTCAATACTTTTGAAAAAGATAAAAGCGCAATTAATTAATGTGTGTCATCTGTTTAGTTTGGGATTTCAATGGGGGACTACAGCCTCACTGTTGGCTTGTTATAAATGATTTACACCTGTCCTCTAAAACTGACCTCTTTGCACCTAATCTTCAACCCTTCTTAAAAAAAGTCATTATTATACTCATCCCAACACTAAGCCAACAGTATGTGCAAAAGGATTGATGATTTCCATTACAGTGCATAAAATTATTTTTTATTTTTATATCATACACTCAGATTTCAAGGCGTCAGGTAGCACAATAAATGCCATGTTGTTTGATGGAAGAGTTATCGGACCTGTTGTGGCGTGTACTGGCAAAGGCGGTAACCCACCACTATCGTTAAGCTTTAGTAAATAACCATTTAGCTTCAGAGATCTGAAGAAGAAAAAAAAACATGCCAAGTTCAGACTTGCACAATAACACAAACAAAATATTTCTTTGTTTGTCCTTGACGGTAGTCCAATACAACATTCAGGGGCATAAAAGGGAGAGAGATGGGGTTTAACGTCCACTCGACACAAACTAGATCGTTTCGAGACTAACATGGTTCAATGTAATTTCAATAATTCGATTGCGCGTAGGGGACTTTACCAGTGGGAGGACCGGGAGAAAACGCACGAGGTTGGAGAGCATAAAGGGACAAGTCTGGTACAGTTTGACATCTCATTTGAAGAAACAGCTTAAAAAGACATAATGGTGGCGGTGGGTATGGTATATTTTGACATCTCGGGAAACAGCTATTCAGTGCTAGGACTATCTAGGAAAAAGTGCTAAATTTTGGATGTTTGGGTTTGGTCCGGTTCACTGATTTTAATTGCTTGGTATGCTGATCTAAACAACATGTCCGTCTTGAGTAGCATTGCCCTAATATAAATTACATAAGCGTTGACAACTATTAACCGGCCAGTGGGAGTATCAAATAACTTAACATTTTAATTTCTAAAATAAAAATCTCATTTCATATAAAGTCTTTGATATCAGTTGTTTAGTCTTCCAAAAACCAAGTTTTATCATGCTGAGCTATTTTTGTACGCCCATATTTTCAAGTGGACGTGTATTGAGTCGCCCCTGTCAGCCCACAATTTATTTGTTGACACGCGGTTCCTTTTGATATTGGCATTTTATCCAATATTAAAAGCTGTTCTAACATATCACCATTCCACCCTTATGATGGTTGAGTTCGAATTTCATGAAAATCGGATTGAAACTGCCCGCTCCTCGTTCGCAAATAGTATAAAAGTATATAATACCAAGGTTGTGGACACTGTAGAAGTCACAATTTTTTTATCCGATTTTGATCAAACTTAAAATATATGTCTATATTCCACGGATTTTTGTTTCTTTTCATACTCGCACATATCGGTCCGTAACCTCCTAGATTATGGACCCCGGGTGTACCAAAAATTACAGTTTATACCCGATTTTAAAAACCTTTTAAATATACACCGTTACACCCTGGGTTTGAATTTTGTGATAATCGGATCGAAGGCTGTGGTCCCTCTAACGATTTGTATCCGGTTTTGAAAAAAACTTAATATTATATGTTTATGTATCAAAGATCTCGGTTTGATGTTCGCGTATATCGGGCCTAACTTCTTGCCTTGTGGCCCCTATTGTACGAGAAATTGTAAGAATAATACTACGAGTTCTTGATGTGGAAATTTACACGGAAATATTTATTTATGGCTAGGGATATGATATCATATCTTTCTTATCTAAATTTTATCCTGTAAGAAAGATATGATATCATATCCCTAGCCATAAATAAATATTTCCGTGTAAATTTCCACATCAAGAACTCTGTGGTGACAGAAATGAAATGAAATGAAATGGAGTTTTAACGTCCTACTGTTCTGCTTTTAACCTCGGCTAATGAAGACGGGCATACGCCATACAGTGTGCTATGAGGGAAATTTTGCCCGGACAGCGGCACTACGGCCTACTCTTATATCGAATTCCAACTGCCAAGGGATCTTTTACGTGCACCCCAATGTGTACACGGGACCTCGGTTTTTCGTCCCATCCGAACGACTAGACAGCTTTCCTTGTCAGCCCCTCCGTCCTGCATCACTGACAAGGGAGAACCACGCCGGAAAATCTGGATGAACTTTCTCGGCCAATGCAGGGATCGAACACCCGACCTCCAGGCTAGCGAGCTAGCGTCTTACCCACCTAGCCACGTGATCCCCCTGTGGTGACAGAGAATATAAGTAATATTGTTATAATACATTATTAAAGGTGTACTGTTTTGTTGACATTGACAATAAATTCGCGTTAACAAAATAGTTTATAAAGTCTAGTATTGATGGCGATATTAGCGACCTTTGATTTTGGCTTGCTGTCGTACTGTTGTTTTTTCGCCCCAGAAGTTGATGTAGTCTCTACTTTCAAGGTCACTTTTCGACTTTCGTGTTTTGAAGGGGCGAAAAGTAGAAATTATAAATGGTAGTTATAGGCTTCCATAAGATTGTAAGACAAAATAAACATTTTACCATTGGTTCACGAATGCCTTTAAGTGCCATTTATAACAAGGGACTAGAAGGACGGGGCTAGATATATTCCACAAGTAACTCAAACGGTTACGTCATATTCCTATCTGGAGAGCATGCGCAATAAATACTAAATCAGTTTATGTACATTCATATTACATTATTATTTGTGTTGCGAACCATTTGTGTCAATTTCTAGGTCCTAAATATTAGCGATTTAGCTCTTTTAAATAACAAATACATGTAGATTGTTTTGGGGTGACCTTTTCCCTGTATGTAAATAATCAGTAAATGTTCATATTTTTGCACCAAAATAGATAATTTTGGATCAAATTTTCTTTTACTGATAATTGATAAGTTCGTAAATAGTATTGTACGATGGATCAATAGGCCATTAATATTTCGATATTGGCCCCTTTCTATAGAAATCAATATATAATTGGTAAGAGTTATACAATCGTAATGTGCTCAACAACCCTTGTTTTACTTATGAATATTTATCTCCCCAAGAAAAAGTTCCAAAATCATTTAATTGATTAACATCAAATTGGTCCATATCAAAGTATATGAGTAAAATAATGTAAGATATTTTATACCCTGGCTTAGACAAGCTGCTGTAGATATTACATCAAATTAATATGCTTATTATTACATTATGTAATATTTGAATCAATTTTTTTTAATTTTATTAAATTGTAATTAAATTTGTTTATTTCTGTGTTTAATTTGATTAGTTTTTCTTATTCTCTTATTCAAATTTCATAGAATCTGATTCCAAACCCATCTAGCTTTAGTGTTACATTCTAAATATAGCGCATTGTAATATGACACTTATACAATACACCATCTGAATAGATAATAATTGGGCTACAATTTATTGTCTTCGAGAGGTTGATGACAGGATTCCCTTCAACAAATCTTTGAGATCACATTCCCAAACTTGAAGAAATCTGGCTGATTTCTAGTTGGTCTTAAGACTGTATTGTGACTTGTCTAACGTTAATAAATTAAACTGCTGTACGTAGTTCTTAATTTTTAACCTATGCAATAGTTATTTCCCTTTATTTTGCAACCACGAATATTGTGGTCATGAATCAAAGAAGATTGTTTGGGTTTAAATTGTCTACCATGGTTTGGCGACAACCGTTTAATGTACCCACTTCATAGATAATTATGTGTGAAAACAAATAAATAAATAAAGCACTAACTTTCACTGTAAACCATGGTCACGAATTTACATTTTATATCACGGTTTGGCGACAATTTAGTATACCGTCTTCATGGATAATTATGTGTAATAACAAATAAATAAACGCACTAACTTTGATTGTAAACCTTGAACATCTCCCGGTGATAACATATAGATATCACTATTATTTCCTTCAACACCTTGTATAATGATGTTCACATCGGTTGGTCCCAAATTCATCAATATCAATGTGACACTTCCTTTTGTATATTCTGTAGTACTGTAATTACAGCGATATCATTATTACATGCTATATTAAAATGGAATTATAGCGATATTTTTATTACATTTTATATGCTATAGCAGTGATATTACAGGGTTTATTATAACATTTTATAGCAATGGAAGGTAGCACCATTCCATTCTATATTTTATAGCTATGTTATTACGGAGATAGTATTACTACATTTTATATCTTTTATACAATCTGATTAAAAAACAGATCCTATTTCGTTTCGTATTTTTTATTGTTCAACATTTCGTTTTCGTTTTACTTGTCTTTACTACATTAGGACCCGGGTGGGTTAACCAATGAAACGGTCTGTTACGGTGAGTTTTTTGCACAAGGCGCACGGAACTGTGGGTAACTAACTAGAGACATCAATGCTGATTGGTTAATCAAATGTCTGACGCCTTGGGGTCAAAAGCCGCACGTATGACCTCTGACGCGACCTTCCACTACAACGGGTCAGATCTTCATGTAGCGTAGGCCATCGAAAGTATAAAAAAACGAAACAAAATATAGATCAGTATTTTAATCAGATTGATCTTTTATATTCTATAGCAACAGAAATGTGTGTAGTTTAATGTTCAAGTGCGAGACATTATACTGATATTGCACATATTATAGTGATACTGAAGTCAATCGAACATTGATATTGCACATATTATAGTGATACTGAAGTCAATCGAACATTGATATTGCACATATTATAGTGATACTAAAGTCAATCGAACATTGATATTGCACATATTATAGTGATACTAAAGTCAATCGAACATTGATATTGCACATATTATAGTGATACTAAAGTCAATCGAACATTGTTGGTATTGCACATATTATAGTGATACTGAAGTCAACCGAACATAATTTCAAGTAACCAGGGAAATCAACACTCTAACAAGGGACCTTCCGGTTAGCAAGCCAGCTCCTTACTAACTGAGCCACCGCAGATCCCTCTGAGTGATGCAATATAAAGTCATGCTTCTTACCTTTGTATATTCGTACAATGAGAATATATCCGAATATTTTCATTTGACCCTCGAGATATGTTCAGCACGGTAGTTCCCACCAATTGCTTGTGCAGATAGGTTACCCAGAAGTCCTAAAGTAAGTGAATGAAAAGCGTGAATGTTTTTAACTGTGCAGAATATTTCAAAACATGTTATTTGGCAGAACATTATTGCGTTCAGTTGATGGTTTTTAAATGAAACAATTGGCAACGTCGGTGGATTAGAGAATCAATGCAAATGAAATGAAATGGGGTTTAGCGTCCTCTGTCTGCTCCGACTGGGTTAATGACGAAGGGCATCCGTCACGCCCATCTTCACTAGTCCAGCCGCAGCAGTAGGGCGTTAAATGAAATGGGGTTTAACGTCCTACTGTTTGCTCCGACAGGGCTAATGACGACGGGCATCCGCCACGACTATTTTCAATAGTACGCAGCAGTAGGGCGTTAAACCCCTTTTCATTTGCATTCGGCATGCAGTATGTGTTATTGAGGAGAATTATATCGAATTCTAACTGCCAAGAGTTATTTTATGTACACGTCAATGTGTACATGAGACCTCGAATTTTCGTCCCATTCGAACCACAAGGGGTCCCTTGTCGGGTCTTCGTATTAACAAAACATATAGACACACTATATAGTATAACATTAAAGAAACGCGAGTAAAGGATAATGCCAGATTCCAGTTGCAACTTCCCGTGACTACGTCAGTTGTATGACTTGGGATGATCTTAGCCCCGGCGTGGATATTTCTGTGATGTCAGCCCAACAGTAACACAGTTTGTACATGGAACTTGGTTTTTCGTCACATCCAAATGACCAGACAAAATTCATTTCCAGACCCTTCTTCCTGCACCACCCACAAATCCAGTGGAATTTTTTTCTCGATCAGGCGGTACCCCCCGATTACTAAGATAATGCATGTCCTATTGAGCATACACTACCTCGTGAATTTCATTCATCAACTTACATTGCTCGGGTCGAGCTGTAGTGTTATTACTCCATCATCTGGTCCATAGAATGATTGTCGAATAACAGCGTCTATACCAAGCTGAGCTGCCATCCCAAGTTTATCCAACCACCTGCAGTAGAGGCAACAGAAAGGGGGATATCTTCTGACTGATCCCTGAACGGACACACATTTTTTTTATAAACAATATTTATTCAGAAACTGAGGGGATTGGGGAACGGGCAAAGCCTATATAAACCCCTATCCCGGTTAGAAATAAATTACATAACATTACAATAGATTGAAAAACAAAGAAGAAAAAAGGAATAGGTAAAAGGGAAATGTGTATATATATATAAATATGTACACATAACCCATATACATGTAAACAAATTTGAGATAAATTAAAATCCGCTAATTTATTTTAAAAATTTAAATCTTTCGTTTTTTTCAATAAAATTATGCACATGGTTAAATACTGACACGTGTTCTTCGTTGATTGGATATGATCCGAATAGAGGCAACAGAAGGGCAGATATCTTCTGACTGATCGCTAAACGTGCACACATTGATTGGATATGTTCAGAACTGGTTAAAGCTGAACTCCGGTTACAAAAATACCGAAATAATTAAATAAAAAAAAGTTAACGCCCCCAAGCCGCCTACTTGTTTCCAATTTGTGAAATAAATATGGCGGACATGGAGGCTAAACTTATGACCTGGAAAGGTTAGCCGATCTCACTTCCAGTTTGTTTCTTGTCAGTCACCTGTACACATCCGGCCTTATTCTTTACACACGTGTGTATAGAATAAGGCCGGATGTGTACAGGTAGGGTGGCCCATGTACTCTACAGAAATAAAGTCCACCGCTGATAGTTCGAGACTACCACTGAAGCGTACACATTCGCCGTGCCGAGACCAACTTTCTGACAGTATGATACTATAAATAGCCATGGTACGTGCAATTCTCAACAAATCTATCAACTATTACAGCCGTAAAAAATTTATTGTTGACGATTTTGAATAGCAGTGAAATTAAGCTTCTTGGTTATTACAGCAGATTTAGAAATTACGTTCGTTTCATTTTTTAAATCGCTTTATCATTAACTGTACCGTTAAGAGCGGTATCTTTTGGTTTAGTACAAATAATATCTCTGAATCACTCGGGTTAGACAGGAACATGATACTAGCAGTAGTTTCATTTTACTTTTACAAGGTTCTTAAAACGATTATCCCGACCTGTCAATCAGACGTAGAATGGTCGATAGACTGGTTAAGCGAGACTAATTTCAAAACAAGGGCACGTAACCAAATTTTACTCAAAAGTGTCTGGATGTTATGGACGACACTTGGAACCAGTTTTCAGTCTATTATTTATAGATGATTAATGGTCATAGCTTATTAAGTACAACATGATCGTTTATTTAGTGACTATAATTGTGTGAAACTGATTTGAGGCTTGGCATATATATAAATATTGTGGCGTAATTGTCGAGATATATGGAGATATTTATTTATGGTGGGTCACCCTACAGGTGGCTGACAAGAAACAAACTGGAAGTGAGATCGGCTAACCTTTCCAGGTCATAAGCCTCCATGTCCGCCATATTTATTTCACAAATTAGAAACAAGTATGGCGGCTTGGGGGCGTTAACTTTTTTTATTTAATTATTTCAGTATTTTTGTAACCGGAGTTCAGCTTTAAGACAATTGCTCGGCAGCAGATCAGATGTGTCATCATACCTATGTCAAAAATAGAGGATCCCCGGCAACAAACCTCACAACACTGTGTAGAAGGTTTAAAAAATTATAATCTAGGTCTGGAACATGTTTCGGGCTGTCCGCCCTTCATCAGCCAGAGTTGAGTACATAAATGATATAACAAAATAATCCAGGCTATATATACAAGTATTTGGCGCATGCGCCTTAGTCTCAATTTCTATAAAAAGTAATCCCTAGACTGGGATTAGAAAAGACGATGGTTTTTCAAATGGTGTGAATTGGAAAACCCCTATACTGGGATTTTTTAAAAAATAAAAAGTAAAAAATAAATAAAAATTTTTTTTTTTTTAAATCCTTGTACTATTGGAAAACTGAATCTATGACCGGGAGCCTCGCTGACTATGACGTTTCGATTTGCTCGCGCTGTTAGCCGAGAAAGTTACTCGAGATCTTCCCGGGTGATTTCTCTTGTCCGTGGTGCGGGACGGGTGGAACGAAAAACCGAGGTCCAGTCTACACATTGGAGAGCACGTAACTGAACCCTTGACATTTGGAATTCGAAATAAAAGGCCGCTGTCCGGGCCAAATGTCGCTCATATTATCCTGAATGGCGTATACCAGTCTGCATTAGCACAGGTGTAGGACAGCAATCTCTATTTCATATGAATTCATCTGAATCCATGGTCTGAAGCGATCCCGGATCCTTTATTGCAACAGATTTTTTTCTGTCTGTATCAAATTTTGATCTACTTTTTCTCAAGGGAAATTTCCAGATATGAAGTGTTAATGGGGTTTTCAAAGTAGTAGTTAAAAATATAAGATGCTTAACAATAAACTTACATGAAGCTTGCTACATACATGTAGGACAACGAATCGACTTGTCTACCGTATGAGGATGAAGTTTCACCCAACCATATGGGTTTGTCGGGGCAATACTTTTTAGCTAACGCAACTGCGTCCATTAGTTGTGGTCTTAACGATTCCAGTAAACTAATATTATGAAAAGTCTCAACTGATGCTTTTGTGGGCGGAAAATAGTAACTGAAAGGTTAAGAAGTATTCAGAAATCTAAAATTCTAAAATATCAAAAATGTGACTATCAACATCAAATATCGCAAATTGTTTATTAGAATGCTAATATCAAATTATGTAATGAGAATACTAATATATCAATTATGAGAATATTGGTATTTATAAATTATTTCTATGTTAAATTATTTTATGCAAATACTTATATTTCAAATTATTTTTGAGAATACTATTATTTCAAATTATTTATGAGTATACTAATATCTTAAAATATTTATATCCAAATTATTTTATGTGAATACTAATATATCAAATTATGAGAATACTATTATCTCAAATTATTAATCTTCAAAAAGGAGTTAGTAAAACATATTAAATCTTTTAACCCTTGCTTATTACTGTTGTCCTTTGAATGTGTGTTTATTTGCCGTTTTTTTTTCTTTCTTGTCTGTTTGATACTTCTTTATTATAAGCTTATATAATATGATATATATATATACACTTTGTAAATATTGTTTCTGTGTAGTTGATAGTTTTATAGAGTAGGAGGGGCAAGTTGTAAATTAGAACTCGTGTTCTAAATATATTCCATTAAAAAAATAAAAACATTATTATTATTATCATAATATCTTAAATTACTTTATGTAATTACCAATAATTATTATTGATAAAAATACTAATATATCAAATTATTTATGAGAATACCAATATTTCAAATTATTTTATGTAAATACTAATATCTCAAATAATTTATGAGAATGCTAAAATCATATTATTGATAGGAATACTGGTATCACGCCCGTGTCGGTCAACCCACAGACCTAGTTCAGAATTAAAATTTACACTGAACAAATAAAGAAGTTGGATTATACATTGTCTTAATTTAGAAATTACACGAATTGAAGTTAGAAATTACATGAATTAAGGTTAGAAGTTACATGAATTAAGGTTAGAAGTTACATGAACGGAGGTTAGAAATTAGACGATAGCATGTTAGAATTTTGAATCTAATATACCGCCATAGTTCAGTGGGTTATTCGTTACGAGAAGCTGACTGAAATGAAGGGGGACGTCCACGTCCGAAACTATATGTTGGTTGGGCGACTCTGCTCCTTTTCACGAACACGTGGTAGTTAGAAAACACGCCATCTGATTCAATGACAGACCCCAGGTTCTAACGAGCACACGTTCAACCACTCAACCAACTCCAGGTTCGTTAGAACACGAAAGCTTCACATGGCTAGATCTAATTGTTAATTCAATTTTCGTCAAGGTCACTGAGAAGTAAATAAGGTTAGGGCACGTGATTGTTAGCGAGATTGTAGGTTAGGGTAAGCGTTAGGGTTGGAATTAGCGCTAGCCCTGTTTACATCTTGTAGTTGGTCGTATGACGTTCACTCGACACAAACTAGGTCATTTCGGGATTAACACATGGTTCAATTATATTTCAATAACTCGCTTGGGGTCTTTAGCAGTGGGAGGAAACCGGAGGACCCGGAGAAAACCCACGAGGTTGAACAGGTGACCCTACTCCTTGTCACGTACAACCGGGGAATCGAAACCCTGCCAGTTGACTGAATGACAGACCGTATGATACAGCGCGCGTGCTAAACATTCGGCCATCCAACTCCCCTGTATCAAATAGATCTAACCATTGACACATTCTTTGTTGATAAACTATATGCATTCGGTTTTGATATTTTTTTGTCCAGAAAAATCAAACGCTGTTATAAAAATGTGGAATACTTACTGGTGATATGTGATGATATCCACGATGTTTGCCCCACCCAATTTCAGAAATCTAGAACAATGAACAAATAAATTTTTAAATAGAAAATGTTTTTGTTTTAAATCCAGAAAGGTCAAGGAGATCTTTAGATTTTCACAATGTTTGCGCCATATAATTTCAAAAATCAAAAACTCAGTTTATAATTATAAATATATTTGTTTCTAAAAAAAATAAGCTGTTGTCTTGAAATGCCACGTAGATCATTAGGTTTTCACCGTTAAATTAGATTGGTAAGTTATCGATACTAGTAAACCGGTTAGGTTTTCACCGTTAACTTAGATTGATAAGTTATCGATACTAGTAAACGGGTTAGGTTTTCACCGTTAAATTAGATGGCTAAGTTATCGATACTAGTAAACCGGTTAGGTTTTCTCCGGTAACTTAGATTGGCAAGTTATCGATACTAGTAAACCGGTTTGAGTACCTCAGTACTTCTTACCTATTTATGCTTACTTACAAGGGGAGTCGCGGCAATTTGTTTCACAGAGGTATTGTGAAAGCCTTATTATACCTCTGTATGTTGTTCTTTGTGTTTAACGTCCAGTACCACCGAAGGTGATATCGCGGTCAAGTTGTCTTTTTTTTTTCATTATCTTAGCGCATGCGCAGGGGTCTTTCCTGTGGGAGGAAACAGGAGTACCCGGAGTAAACCCACGAGGTTGAGAAGGCGCCCCCTATCTCCAAGTCACACATACGCTTACACCAGGGATCAAAACCACAACCGCAAGCCAGAGGTAACCGGCCAGCTAGAGGTCGAAGCGGGACACTCTAGACCCTCCCCCCCACCCCCATACCTCGGTATCAGATGACTGACCTTTATTAGTTCAAGTATGCCTTCTATAGGTAACGTCACATCATGGGCGTGTGCATTGTTTACATTAGACGTTGTTGCGTTAACTGATCCAGGCAGAGTGGTGCCCTGTTTACTCATTTTTTATACCCATTATAACTACATAGGAGATATATTTTATCCAGATATACTTCAAACACCTTTATTTATTTTTCTAATACTTCAAGCAAAAATGTTTTACAATTTTAATTTGCAGACGGAAAAAAAGCTCATTAAGTCGCATCGAAGACACCCATCTCAGTGATTGTAACGGCCTAGCGAATATTTACTGCTGATCAGTAGTCGCGGTATCTCCGTGAATAAGGCATTGGCTCACTAGCCAGGAGGTTCGGGGTCGGCCGACAAAGTTACTCGGGTTTTCCGGTGCGGATTCCCCTTGTCAGTGTTGCAGGACGTAAGCCCGATGTAATTACAATAGGCCATAGTGCCGTTATCCTGTCAAAGGTACCCTCATATAGATCACTGTATGACCTACGTCCGCCTTCATTGGCCGAGTCAGTGCAGAAAATTATGAAGCTAAATTCCCGTTTTATTTCATTACTTACAAGTCCATGTATGTTAAAGACCCAACATCTAAAGAGTTAACATCAGGTCCGAGTATTAATGGACCTCCAAGTTCTGGTAAACTAGATAAAATATGTTTTAAGTTTCCAAAATCATAAACAGACTGTGCCGCTGTAACGTTGAATTGTGGGTAAACATTTAACTCTGGAAATAGATACATAAGATAGGCATAATATGTGACCAGAAATCGATGTGCAGATGAGCACACACTGGCGAGAATATTTGACATTCGGGAAAAGAAGTATATGGGGAACCACCCTCCCCACCCTACCCTTCTTGCTCTTACAAAAATATGAGTGGACAATTGGTTTCAAGCGTGCGCTTTGGAAGATGAAATCTGTCTTTGAATCAAATGGCGTTTTTGCGATTCCTTGTACACGACACGTGAGCAAGTATAGCCCTCATTGCTAAAGACCCTATCAGGTCGTACAGGGAGATTTGTTGCTTAATTGTACGTTTCCTTTTGGGGCAAAAATTGAACATCGTTTGGCTTGTTGGGTAATTCTCTATTCTTAATTTTCGTATTGATATTCACCACCCTTGGTTGTATTGCATTGATCCAATGTATGGTGGGGACCACGTGGCTAAGTGGTTAAGGCGCTGGCTCGCTAGCCTAGAGGTCGGGTGTTCGATCCCTGCATTGGCCGAGAAAGTTCATCCAGATTTTCCGGCGTGGTTCCCCCTTGTCAGTGATTCAGGACAGAGGGCCTGACAAGGTCAGCTGTCTAGTCCTTCGGATGAGACGAAAAACCGAGGTCCCGTGTATACATTGGAATGCACGTAAAAGATCCCTTGGCAGTTGGAATTCGATATAAGAGTAGGCGATAGTGCCGCTGCCCGGGCAAAATTTCCCTCATAGCACACTGTATGGCGTATGCCCAGGTTAGGAGCAGAACAGTAGGACGTTAAACCCCATTTCATTTCATTTCATTTCATTTCCAATGTATGGTTTATTCCTGATTGTTATAGTTAATATAAAATTCAAATACCATTTCCTAGTTCAAATCCTGCTGGTTTGTATCCCTTTTCAATGGAATAATTAAACAGCTGTAAAGCGTTCGTAGAATTCCAGTGGCCATTACTCCGTAGAAATATGTTCAAATCAAATATCAATTCCCAACCAGAGCGTTCCACAAAATCATTGAGCATATCCCAGTCGGACTCTAAAAAGCAGAATCATTTTATTAATTATAATTTTATTTTAAAAAACCAAACCCGTTCACGAATGAGTCAATGCGGAGTCAAAAGGTCGCAACCCAATTGACTAATTTTTCAGGAAAGTCAAACAAAGCGGGTTTAAGATTCCTGAAAAATACATTATTAGCATTAACCCAAGAAAAGAAAATACCTTTGTTAACTGTCAATTGGCCCCACCCCTCCTCCAAAAACAAAATAGGGTCGGTCGGCTGGAAAATCTTCTTTTTTTTCGTGGGGTTTGTATAATCTATTTCCAAACATTTCTGGTTTAAATTACTAAGTATAACGTTTTTGAAAATAATACCAAATTTTCGTGCTGGAATTTGTCTAGGAGAAAATCACGTCAATACAGAGAGAATTTTTATGGTCGGCAATTTTCGCTTAAAAAATACGGACGGTCAGGTAACACAGGTATTGTTTTTTTTTAATTTGGCCTTAAGAGATAATTAACAACGTACTTTAATGGCCAAGTAATATTCGTCAGTTATTTTGGGGTATAGTTTATATTGTTAATATACCTGTGAAGGTATAGCTTTTATCTTCATTACCGGGTAATATTAGCCAATTATTATGGGGTATAGTTTATATTGTTAATATACCTGTAAAGGTAGAGTATTGATCTTCATTACCAGGTAATATTAGCCAATTATTATGGGGCATAGTTTATATTGTTAAAGATACATTATGGAAGATTAGATAAAGAGCTGGGAGTTCTCACTATAATAGTTAAACACTGGATAATGTAAAGGCAATTTGCTGAAAATTTCAATCAAATTGATCCACTCTGAACTGAGAATTTAGCAATTGAATTTTTTAGGCTTAGCCTCGATCATCATTACTAAAGTCGGTACGATAAAAAAAAATAGTCTTGATTATCCACTTTTTGATTTAATCATCAATGAGCGTTGAGCAGCAGATCAGATTTCAATCCAGTAAATGTCGTAAGCTAGCGATGACATCGAGGGTTGATTATGATCTAGATAAGTTAATTAATGTATAATTAATAATTTAGATAACATTTCAAGCCGAAGGAAAGACCTGTAATAGGAAGATTTAGCTCTTGCATAATATGTTTAAAATAATATGATTAATACAATGACGTCATTATTACTGTGACGTCATAATGTATGTTTAATGTACCTGTGAAGGTATAGTTTTTGTCTTCGTTACCAGTTCGAATATTTAAAGAATTGTTGAATATTAGAAAATCAGCACCGGTTCCACCGACTCGGAAATAAGCTGGCGCCAAAGCAGTTGATAGGGTTAATACTTTTGAAGACCTGTAAAATAACTCAAATTCATGCTTATTAGATTTTCATCCTCGTTTCGTATTCCAATGAGAACGAACTGATGAAAACTACCACCAGATATTAAATAAAAACAACTAATCTTGACCGCCATGTTTGTTCCATAGCCCTTAACCTAATGTCATACACAGACAACTCTATACAAAAGGTGGTAGGGATCAGACCACAATAAAATAAATAAAATGAAATGGGGTTTAACGTTCTACTGTTCTGCTTCGACTGGGCTAGTGAAGACGGGCATACGCCATACAGTGTGCTATGAGGAAAACTGTTACCGGACAGCAGCACTACGGCCTACTCTTATATTTAATTCCAACTGCCAATGGATCTTTTACACGCACCCCAATGTGTACACGGGAACTCGGTTTTTCGTTCCATCCGAACGACTAGGAAGCTGGGAAACCACGTCGGAAAATCCTGATGAACTTTTTCGACCAATGCAGGGATCCAACACGCCAGCCAGCGTCTTACGCACTTAGCCACCGTGGCTCCCTACATAAACTTACATTTTAACAAATGATGCGTACAATTCGGCCACTTAGTAAAGAGTTTTGTATACATTAGTGCCATTTACTCTGTGTAATCAAATGGAATAAAGATTGTAAAAAGCTTACGTTGGTCTAAATGTTTCCCAGTGGTTCTGTATAACGCTTGAATCTAAAGTAAATCCAATAAATCTTGGTCCAAGTGTGCGAATAACTGTAGATCTACCCAGATCAATGACAATATCTTCAGTGTATATACATTTCAATAGCACCACACAAAGTGCTAAATACCACAATATCTGCATCTTGAATCTCTACCAACAGATATGTAGTAGACAAGTAAATGAAAAGTAAAATCTCTTGTGTTATGGGAATTATATTAAACGCATATGTGTCATGGCCAGGATGTCGCTGTATATATATTTTTAGCTTTAGATAACAGAGATAAAGAAACGTAACAGACGTCGCCGATAGTAAAACAAGAGCCAATATGGGCTAATCGCTTGAATGGGGTTTAATGTATACTCTTCAACAAAAGTAGGGGATATTCAGAAACAATACAAATGCACTGCTGTTTTTATTAGAGGTAACCAGTGTATGTTAATAACAGGCCAATTGCCTACACATGAACATAAGCAGTTCATATGGGCGGCTTATCTGACGGGCCCCATTTCACTCGCAAAGAGATACACTGTCAAAAGTGAAAATGGACGTTTTTGATTTTTGTCTTAATAATGAGTAATTGCTCCACCAATCCTCAGACATTCAGCAATTTGTCGTGGCATGCTCCTAATCAACCGTCCAATCACGGTTTGGGGCAATCTGACCCACACCTCGTGCAGTGCCACGGCCAATTCTTGCAGTGTTGTCGGTTGACGTTGACGTCGACGAACACGTCTCTCGGTCAAATTAAACGTAACACACTAAAGCAAAGATACGCTAAACAGTAAATCATATGCAAAAACCGATAGGAAAGCAAACATGGATAGAATAAACCAGCAAGCAGCAGTTTTCATCAACCCTTCCTTGGAGTGTCAAATTTGACAATGAACCCCTCCCACGTATATGGCGCTATTGCGTGTCGCACATGCAGCTCAGTGGTTCTGTTGGGGCGATAAGTTCTTCATCTGTGAACATACTCTCAAAGCATGTCAAGTGTCCATGACTATTTATCATATCACAACTTGCATAGGTAGTAGCATTTCAATATCCCCTACTTTTTTTTAATAGTATATATTTGAATTAAAAGACAGTGGTGTGGGGGGTTTTTAACATTCATATGTGACATCTCAGAAACATCTAAATTGTTATCTAGAAAAATGTTATTAACATATGGCGGAAAAGATTTAATAATTCTCACAAAATTGATATTATGTGTACTGTGTGATAAAGAGGTTAAATGGAAATCCACGCTTGATACACAAACCATTGAATATTTGGAATTCATCATTTAATTTTGGTATTTGTAACATGCAGATGCTAAAAGAGAGAATATTCAGGCGTACGCAATATGGTATCAGACCACAAACACATTAGCAAAATCCCTACTGTGAGTGGTTTCCCCTTGTCAGTGATGCAGGGCGGAGGCCTGACAAGGACAGCTGTCTAGTCGTTCGGATGGGACGAAAAACCGAGGTGCCGTGTACACATTGGCATGCACGTAAAAGATCCCTTGGCAGTTGGAATTCGATATAAGAGTAGGCCGTAGCGCCGCTGCCCGGGCAACATTTCCCTCATAGCACACTGTATGGCGTATGTCCGTCTTCATTAGCCCAATTTAGGAGCAGAACAGTAGGACGTTAAACCCCATTTCATTTCATTTCTTATTAGTCTTATTTGATAGTTAATTATAGCTAGAAATATTCGTAATTTGCCCAACATAGCAGTCGGTTAATATCGTCCATCATATATTGATCCGAATGGCTGATATATGATATTCAAAAAGAACATGATATACTGAAATGTCTTTATCACCCAATAACACATTCAACAGTAGATATCGCTTGTGTGATAAATTTCATAATCTACTGTGATATTGGGAGATGTCGCTCTACATGAATTTGATTGGTCAATGAAAGAGGAACTACATTTTTTTTATTAAAAAGAGACTACTTTGTGGATCCAGTAATATTGTCGGAGAAATGTCCTAAATTACCATAAACAATTACACTACTCCCCGTAAACATCCAAGAATTATAAACAGTGACACTGATTAGTTTGTTTATTCAATCAAAGGAACACCAGGTCAATAAATAAAGGACTTTGCAACATGTGACTTGCTGTCAAAAAACGATGTATCACTACGCCATAATGTAATCAGGTTCAGTAAAATTAGATCTATACAAAAAGTTCTATTTAGTTATTTATGCGCGTAAGAAAGTGTTGGATGATAAATAAAATCTCCTACTCGTCTTTTTTGATATCCAAAAATATCAACACTTGTCGATAAAGTGTTGACATTTTTTGATATCAAGATATCAGAAAAGACTCGTAGGAGATTCTCTATTTATTTACTTTACATATATAGATACGTCCACTTTTAGTTCTTAGTTCTAAAATGGGGGTTTGGGTGGCCGAATGGTTAGCACGTGTGTGCTGTATCATAAGGCCTGTAATTGAGTCAACTGGCATGGTTTCGAATCCTCGGTTGTGCGTGACAAGGAGTAGCATCGCCTGTCCAAACTCGTGGGTTTTCTCCGGGCCCCCCCCCCCCCGGTTTCTTCCCACTGCTAAAAAACCCTAAGTGCAAGCGAATTACTGAAATAAAAATTAAACCATATGTTAGTCCCGAAATTACCTAGTTTGTGTCGAGTGGACTTTAAACCCCATTTGTCTCTCTCTCTATTGGAGCGAACTATAAGTTGAACTTTAGTAAAATTAGTCTTAACAAAGATACAAAGGAAACAAATCCCCATTGAATACTTCCTTATTGGGATGGCCTAGTACTATTTGAATGAGTCATCTACATAATCATATTAGTTGAACTTTAGCATTTCAAGTCGCATAAATACAGGCAAATTAAACCATATGTTAGTCCGGAAATGACTAAAGAGAGAAACCCAACACCCCGTTTGACGTCATTTTTTATTATGAAATTAATTATACGATCATATTGTGATTCAATTTCATTGATGCAAAGCATTCATTGTGATATCACACATGCCTATATCATTATCTCGCGCTTTGATAGTCCATCCCATCCCACCATCTGACGATAAAGGATAAAGCACACGACCGTGACACTTTGCTAATAAAAAGTGTTGTTTTACAATTTATTTTATGTAACTGAGCATGCACCCCGCACCCCTCTGGGTCTACCCTTAAAATTCCTAATATTATGAATACTGAGAGAGAGAGAGAGAGAGAGAGAGAGAGAGAGAAATGGGGTTTAACGTCCACTCGACACAAACTAGGTCATTTCGGGACTAACATATTGTTCAATTTTATTTCCATAATTCGCTTGCGCGTAGGGGTCTTTAGCAGTGGAAGGAAACCGGAGGACCCAAAAAAAAACACGAGGTTGGACAGGCGACCCTACTCCTTGTAACGTACAACCGGGGAATCGAAACCCCGCCAGTTGACTCAATGATAGACTTTATGATACAGCGCGCACGTGCTAACCATTCAGCCATCCAACCCCCCATTATGGATACTAATGACTAAGAGGTTTAGCTGCTTTAAGAGCATTACAATTGTAATTTTAACATAGACATCTTTGTCACGATTGCTCCGTAACAATTATCTCACGATTCCGGAAGTGACACAATAAACGGGAAAGTAGAGAGCGGAAACCGCTACAGAGAGAAATGTTTCGAAAGATATTGAAGAATTGTTATATATCGTCGGTGGGGAGTCAAAAGGTCATATACATGTATGGCATATTTTGCGAAATTCACTTTTTTGCTTTTTCAGAATGAGAATTTTCGTGCACATCTTTTCATCTGGTAGCTAGTCGTATTTCTAAGCCAATAAAAAGAGGTTTTATAGACATTGTTTCAAAATGTCGTATATAGGGTGCTCAACTAGATATTGGGCTTGATATGCGCGGATCGTTACAATACTGTTTAAATAGCTAAATAAATATTATATAAAAAGCTTCAGAAATACGACATTTTACATACGACGTTTTGATTCTTAACCGCTGGGCTAGTTTTGACTCTCCTGGACAATTTCGCAAAATCCAGATACGACCTTTTGACTCCCCACCGACGATATGAGACCATCAAAGAAGATCTTTCAAATATTATATGATTTATTTTTTAGACATTTATTCATAAAGAATGCACTTAAGTCTAAACCAACGGATGAATTAAGCCACAATCGACATTTAATAATTTATGTAAAATTGGATAATCGAGATTTTAAAAGACACATCACAATTTATATGGAAAACAATCACTGGTTCAAATCACACAACATCTTACAGATTTATATCTTTATAGTCGTCATATACGTAATGATCGTAATAGTCTGGAGGCTCAGCGCGGGGGGGGGGGTCCACCAAATGGACACAAAACCAGACCCAACTTTTCTAGAGTAAAATTTTGCGTAGAATACGATATCGAGTGGTAATTAGTCCGCCGTTGGGGCATTTTCGAGATATTCGGGGTCAAAGGTCAAATGGGTTCATTTGCACTGAAAGTGAATGCACAAGTCTTTCTTGTATTATGAATATAAGCTGAAAATCATCGAAAGTAATCACACTTTCAATAAAAATGTAAACTTGCTAAATTCACCTTTGTTCTTTGTGACCACAGAGGTCAAAAGGTCACATTTTCCGTTTTAGCACTAGGAAGATTTAAAATAATAAATGTCAGCGTAAAATATAAAAACTAAAGCGAAACTTGTTCTAATTAATAATAGGATCATTTAAAATTTATCTTTAGGTGGTCTTAGCACTGAACTTTTACTTTGGAAAGTCGAAAATGATCTTGCTTAACAGAACCAACACACTCTGAAACCTGTTTCAAAAATACGTAAAAACTGTTAAATCAAAATCTCCCCGAATTTGACCTTTGACCTCGAATATCTCGAAAACGCCCCAACGGCGGACTGATTACCGCTCGGCATCGTACCACTCTAGAAAAGTTGGGTCTGGTTTTGTGCCCATTTGATGGACACCTCCCCGCCTCCGGTCTATAATTATAGAAACAGTTTTATATGAGCATTTGTGCTTGTTACTGCATCATATTCACTTATATTCTCTTAAACATACATTATGCAAGAGCTAAATCTGCCTATTGCAGGTATTTTTTAGGCCTGAAATGTTATTTTATAGTAAGTGCAGGAGGACCGCACTAAACGTAAAACAAAAATCTACAAGATAAACCTGCGGACAA